AGCAGGGCTCTTCTGACGTTCTTCTGAGGGGAAGGCCTCGGCCCCTCTGCCCTGTTGTTGGCCCTTCAGAGGAACTGGCTGAGGCCACTGTGTGAGATGGGATGCTGGACTAGATGGACCCTCACTGGTCTGATCCAGCAGGGCTCTTCTGATGTTCTTATGAGGGGAAGGCCTTGGCCCCTCTGCCCTGTTGCTGGACCTCCAGAGGAACTGGTTGAGGCCACTGTGTGAGACGGGATGCTGGACTGGATGGACCCTCACTGGTCTGATCCAGCAGGGCTCTTCTGATGTTCTTCTCAGGGGAAGGCCTCGGCCTCTCTGCCCTGTTGTTGGCCCTTCAGAGGAACTGGTTGGGGCCACTGTGTGAGACAGGATGCTGGACTAGATGGACCCTCACAGGTCAGATCCAGCAGGGCTCTTCTGGTTATCTTAAATGAAAGCCTGGAATGCAGGGAATTATGAAGAAAACATGCAAAGGGGATGGGGGGAAGTGCTGGGATGGGCACCAGGTGTATGATTCTGAGGATTACAGCAAATGCCCTAAAAAAAGGGTCAGGTGTCTCCCCACTCTCACGGGGACTAGTGGCTTCAGCCTCTGGGCCTTACCTGTCGTGAGGCGTGACGAGCTTGGGAGGGTTCTTGAGGTACTGCTTGAAGCGCAATTCGAACGCCTGCCCGATGGTGCTGATGACGTCCTGAGCCAGCCCCTCTGGGCACTCCAGGATGTGGCAGGCTGCAGGGAGAGACGGACAGAGGCTCAAACCAGGAAAAAAAAAAAAAAGAACGCGAGCTCTTAGGATTGCGAGGAACTGGGGGGGGGGGGGGTAAAAATCCCTACACTGTGCAGGGGGCTGGACTAGATGACCCTTAGGAGTTCCTTCCAGTTCTATGTTTCAAAAGGAGGGACCAGGAAAACTGGGCAGACTGCTAGAGTCTGATCCCCTGACCGTGGCCCTAAACCCTCACAATGGAGGGCTGGCATGGGTAGTGGTTAAGAGTGTCGTACTAGAATCGGGGTTCAAGTCTCCTGCCCAGCCATGGAAGCCCGCCAGGTGACCTTGGGTCCGTCACCATCTCTCAGCTTGAGCTACCCTTGCAAGGTCATTATTGTGAGGGTTAATTGGAGGAGGGGGGCATCAATGCAAAAAGAGAAGAAGAGGAGGAGGAGGAGATTGGATTTATACCCCACCCTTCACTCGGAGTCTCAGAGCAGCTTACAATCACCTTTCACTTCTCCTCCCCACAACAGACACTCTGTGAGGGCGAGGTGGGGCTGAGAGAGCTCTTCCAAGGACTGCCCTTGAGAGAGCAGCTCTGAGAGAACTTGTGACTGACCCAAGGTCACACCAGCCGCTGCATGGGGAGGAGTGGGGACTCAAACCCGGTTCTCCCAGATTAGAGACCGCATTCTTAATCACTACACCAAACTGGCTACACCACAAAGCTACTTGGGGTCCACGATCAGGGAGAAAAGCAGGATATAAAAACCAATAAATCAATAAAGACCAACGATACTTTTGAAGCGTAAGCTTTTGAGTTCCAAAGCTCCCTTCGTCAGAGACCTCTGACTCTCAAAAGCTCATACCCTGAAAATCTTGTCAGTCTCTAAGGTGCTACTGGACTGGAATCTTAACTGATCTACGGCAGACAGACGTGGCTGCCCTCTGGAACGCAATAAAACAAACCTGGCCCCGGCTCCTCATGCCAAACTAGAAGTCACAGGAGATTTCTGTGGTTGCTGACCCATAAGGTAGTCAGCAGGGGAAGGGGAACCTTTACTCTTCCCCCCTGCATAACTGCACCGTCCGATCCTCCTCCTCTGGAGGAGGAGATGATGCTTGGATTTCTATCCCGCCCTTCACTACCCAAAGGAGTCTCAGAGCGGCTTACAATCTCCTTTCCCCTCCCCTCCCCTCCCCACAACAGACACCCTGTGAGGGAGGTGGGGCTGAGAAGAGAGCTCTCTCAAGAACTGCCCTTGAGAGAACCCTGAGCGGTCGGGTTAGAACGGATAAAAGGAAGTCCTTCTTCACCCAAAGAGTGATTAACACTTGGAATTCACTGCCACAGGAAGTGGTGGCGGCTACAAGCATGGACGGCTTCAAAAGGGAATTAGATAAGTATATGGAGCAGAGGTCCATCAGTGGCTATGAGCCACAAGGTATAGCTAGGGGCTCTGGGGCAAGTGATGCTCTGTCTTCTTGGTGCTTGGGGGGGGTCAACAGTGGGAGGGCTTCTAGTGTCCTGGCCCCACTGGTGGACCTCCTGATGGCACCTGGTATTTCTGGCCACTGTGTGACACAGAGTGTTGGACTGGATGGGCCTTTGGCCTGATCCAACATTGGCATCTCTTATGTTCTTAACAGCTCTGAGGGAACTTGTGACTGACCCAAGGTCACACCAACAGCTGCATGTGAAGGAATGGGCAATCAAACCCAGTTCTCCCCGATTACAGTCCGCGCTCTTAATCACTACACCAAACCGGAAGGGGGCAGACAGGCCATCCGGCCCAACCCCCTGCTCAATGCAAGATCAGCCTCAAGCATCTCTGAGATGTGTCCATCCAGCCGCTGCCTGAATACTGCCAGGGAGGGGGAGCTCACCACTGCTCACGGGAGGGAGGAGCACTCCCCTGTGTCCCCCTTCCTCCGCCATCTAGCCAGATGTGGGGGTTGGGACCGCGCGGTAATGGGGGTTTGGCCCACCAAAGGCACAGCATGCTCACCGCAACAGGGGGGGGGGGCAAACTCAGGCAGCACCTTCTGAGGGGCATGGGAGGTCTTACCTCTGTGATTGACAGGGTCTTTGGCAACGTAGGCGACGTACTCGGCTGTGTCCTGCGAAGGCGGAGAGTGGTGGTGAGTGCCGGCTTAAGGCTTGGATGCCACAGATCTGGTTCCACTTACACGCCATTTCCCCCAGGCGCAAAAGGTTCCTTGGTCTGTTGTGTCAGGGGAAGGGGAGGGAACGGGACCCCAGCCTCAAGTGTGGAAGCGAGTCTCGCAGTTCTCCTCTGCCCTAAGCCGGCCTCTAGGCAGTAGGAAGGTCAATAGAGTCTGCCTGGGGTAGCTAATAATAATGAATAATTACCATCAGTGTGTCCCTCTAAGCTGAGTTAGTGTGAGCCAGCTCATAGTTCTTTAGCCTCCGGCTCACACATTTTTGTCTTAGCTCAGGAAGGATGACTCTAGAGCAAACTAATTTATGCGGCAGCCAAACGGCTCGCTCACAACTTTAATGCCATTAGCTCACAAAGTACAAGTTTTGCTCACAAGACTCCACAGCTTAGAGGGAACATTGATTACCATATGGTGTTGTGTGCAGAATAGCCAAGGGATCCTAAGACTGTCTGGCAGCCACAAGCCCTAGCTCTTTTTCAGCGTCAGGCACCACGAGGTGGCGAGCTAGCCTTGTTTTTAAAGCAGAGGCGGTTTTGCCACTGCCTGCCTCTGCGCCACGCCCCTGGTATTCCCTGGAGGTCCCTCTTCCAAAGACTAGCCAAGGCTGACCCCCTACTTAGCTTCCGAGATCTGATGGGGTCAGGCTACCCCGGCCCTGATTCATCAACCTGGGATGATTAAGAGATGCAGCACAGAGACCTGGAAATTCTGCGCTCAGCTTTACAGAACCGGGCGACACGCTTGTGCAGGTACGGTTGCCAAATCCAGACCGGGAGATTCCTGGTGATTTGGGGGGAGGGCGGCAGGGCTCTTTTTGTAGAAAAAGCCCAGCAGGAACTCATTAGCATAATAGGCCACACCCAACAACAGGAACTCATTAGCATATTGGGCCACACCCCTGACAGCACAGCTCATTAGCACATTAGGCCACACCCCCATGTTACCAGAAGTGTGGTTATCCAGCCACACCCACCTTTCCCTTCTTATTCTGTTTACCTTCTTTGTTGTCAAAACCCAGGGCTTTTTTGTAGCAGGAACTCCTTTGCATGTTAGGCCACACACCCCAAATGTAGCCAATCCTAATGAGTTCCTGCTGTTGGGTGTGGCCTATTATGCTAATGAGTTACTGCTGGGCGTGGCCAACTAGGGAGGCAGCCGGAACTCCGTTCCTGTGCGTCCCTGCCCAAAAATAGCCCTAGAGGGCGGAGCTTGTGAAGGGTGGGGCTTGGAGAAGGGAGGGGCCTCGTTGGGGTAGAATGCCCGGCAGCCCACCCTCCAAAGCAGCCGTTTCCTCTAGGGGAGCTGTTCTCTGTAGCCGGGAGATCGGTTGTAATTCTGAGAGATCTCCAGGGCCCGCCTGGTGCTTGGCACCCAAACAGACAGATGCACCCCTGTTCTCTGACTTCGCACAGTTTGTTCCGATTCTGCTGCTAATCAGGGGGGAGGAGAAACAGGCCAACCTTAGCTAGAAATCTTATTCAACTCCAACCCCCACCCCCACCCCGGCTCCTAGGATCTCCAGAGGGATCGCTGCATGCTTGGGAAGTGTACCTAAGCAGCAGATGCTTGATTTTTAAGAACCCAGAAGATGGACATGGACAAGCCCACTCCTAGAGTCAGTCGTAGTTGAGCCTGACACACACTCACCGGATCCCCTCCGGATGCAAAAGAAATCGACTGCATGTGATGATTGGCAATGATCTAGGGGCAGAAGAGAAGGGCGAAGAATTAGAGACAAGGGTGGCGGTAGGAACATGATGTTCTTATGAGGGGAAGGCCTCAGCCTCTCTGCCCACTTGTTGGCCCTCCAGAGGAACTGGTTGAGGCCACTGTGTGAGACAGGATGCTGGACTAGATGGACCCTCACTGGTCTGACCCACCAGGGCTCTTCTTATGTCCTTATGAGGGGAAGGCCTCGGCCTCTCTGCCCTGTTGTTGGTCCTCCAGGGGAACTGGCGGAGGCCCCTGTGTGAGACGGGATGCTGGACTAGGTGGACCCTCACTGGTCTGATCCAGAAGGGCTCTTACGACGCTGAGCGTTGCACAAAGCTGCACAAGTTAAGTTCTTTGGCCTCGCCAAGGGTCACGTTTGAACCTCCCGGGCTGGAAGGGGAGGGGCCTTTACTCACCTGCTTGCAGTCGGACGCCATGAGGTTGAGGCTGCTGGTGGAGATGGTGAGCGTGATGGGCATGGCGGCAAACTTCAGGTTGCTCTTGCCGAGGATGGAGTTGAGCGAGCGGCCGCAGGGCTGCCGGGAGGGAGACAGGAGGGCGGTTAAGCGGAGGGGGAGGAAACAGCCTGGAAAGGGGGAGGAGACTTCCCCATCTAACAGACTCACTTCCCAGAGCTGTCAGGAGGTTCTTAAACAGAGGTAAAAAGGGAAGGAAGAGCATCAACAATTGGGAATTGGTGTGCGACCGGGTTGGGCTGAGCGAAGAAAAACTCTGCCCGAGTCTCTTATGTTCTGTTCCGGATTCAGCGCGGCAACCTGGGCCGGCCATAAATATCTGGAGAGCCCAGAAGCTAAGCCCCCTTGGTAATTTAAGATACGCTGCTTCTAAACCTGGAGGCTCTACTTAGTTAGTGGTCACAGAGAGGCCTGTGGAATTTGCCTCCCCTTTTTAAAGGTATTGGGCCTGTCTGTAGCCCTGCGTCATATACTCTGACAGCGGCTTTCTAAGATCTCATGCAGGGGTCCCAGTACCTGAAACCCCTTTACTGACGATAACGTGAACACCACCCCTTCCGTTTAGTGTTTATCACAACCCCGTCTGTTTTCTGCGGCTGAAAAATGCCCAAGGAAGTTGCGCACATCCCATATTTGTGGAATTTGCAAGCACCATGCATCTCCCCTGTGCAAATTTCTGATTTATGTTGTGGGATCTGCCTGCAGCATACACGGGGAGAAACACAATTCTACACGGGAAGAGCAAACAGTCCTTCCTCTGGCACTTCTGAGCAATACTCCAAATGAACACACACAAAGCTGCCTTATACTGAATCCTAGAATGACAGAATCAAAGAATTGGTAGGGGCCATACAGGCCATCTAGTCCAACTCCTTGCTCAATGCAGGGTCAGACCCTTGGTCTACCAAAGGCACTACTGTCTCCTCAGACCACTAGTGGCTCTCCAGGTCTTGGTCAGGGGTCTTTCACATCGCATGAGGAGGGGCCGTGGCTCAGTGGTCCAGCATCCACTTGACTAGAGATGTAAAATTTCCAGACATTTTGATAGTCGGGAAAAAATCTGGTTTTTTTCGGGGGGGGGGGGGAAAAGTTTTTGGAAAAAGGTTGGAAAAAGTGAAAAAAATGCTACATTAGCACTTTTTCTTTTCCAGACTGAAAGTCATTCTGTTACTTCAGGAACATAAAATATGACTACGGACATTTTTACTTGGCATGAGATTATCACAACTAGCCTATTAAAAATATAGTGTATCCAAACAATTATTACAAACAGAACACCCACCGACATGCAAAAACAAAACTGAAACCTTTTTCTTTTCTTGTGACAGTAGCACCTCCTAAAAGAAAGAAATGCATCTTGTTCTTGCATTGGAGAGTTCCCACACATCACTCATGCAAAGCAGAGGCTCTACCACTGAGCCACGGCTCTCCATATCCCATCTTGTTGTTGTTGTTGTTCAGTCGCACAGTCGAGTCCGACTCTTCGCGACCCCATGGACTATATCACGTTTACGAACTGTTCATCTGAGTGTCTTGGACTGTATGTATACCAAATTTCAGCTTTCTGTGAGGTGTGGAAGTACCCTGGGTAACTGTGAGGTGTGGAAGTACCCTGAGAGCCAGTTCGGTGTAGTGGTTAGGAGTGCAGAATAATCTGGAAGAACTGGGTTTGATTCCCCACTCCTCCACATGCATCTGCTGGTGTGACCTTGGGTCAGTCCCAAGTTCTCTCAGAGCTGTTCTCTCATGAGCACTTCTCAAAAGACCTCTCTCAGTCCCGCCTACCTCACAGGGTGCCTGTTGTGGGGAGGGAAAGGGAAAGGAGATTGTAAACTGCTCTGAGACTCCTTCGGGTAGTGAAGGGCACGATATAAAAACAATCTCTTCTTCTTCTCCCCACTTTCTGGTGGCATTCCTCCTTTCAGTGCCCGGGCTTACCCTGGAATGATTCTGCACAGGACCGCACTGAGAGTCATAAACCACAATGACCCTGGTTTGTCTCTCGCCCTCTGCAGTAAACTCTCTGGGCATCCGGAGGAAAGCCTCAGCTGTTTGCAGCAGGTGCTGAAACAACCCTGACCCACCTTGCAGGGCTGTTGTGAGGGCGAGGAGCGCTCTGAACACTCAAACATCGCTACGTAAAAGCAAAGTTTTACTAGAATGCTGGCGGTGGGAGTGTTCGCTGTGTTCTCCCCAAGCTTAGAGTGCCCAGTGCCATTCTGACTTGGACGAAAAGCACCCAAGGTCAGAGGTGGGGCCGGCATACGGCTAGAGGACCCACAACTATCCGACGTAATGCTCTATTTTTGAAAAGCATTCCCCCCCCACCTGTGACCTGATGTTTCCATTTAAAGGACAGTCGTTTCGTCTTAGAACAGAGCAATTTCTTGTTTTTAAAAAAGTCACTGGTGACTCTATCCTGTCCTGGCAGTAATCCATCCGCGTCTGGCCCTCCTGGCTCTAATCCCTCCAAGATCCCCACTGGCTCAGGGAGGATTGTTTCAAGACCCTTCGCCTTAGGAAACTGGGAGAGGGGCTGAGGCTCAGTGGGCAGAGCACCTGCTTTGCACGCAGAAGGGCCCACGTTCAATCCAGCCAGACCATCTGCCCGGAAGATCTGGAGGAGCAGGTGCTGGAAATGACCGGTCTCTGTCTGAGGACATTTCTATATCCGTATCTATCCCATCTATCTGTCGTCTGTCTGTCTGTCTGTCGCCATCAGGTTACAGCGGATTTATGGCAATCCCATATGGTTTTCACGGCAAGACACATTCAGAAGTGGTTTGCCCTTGCCTCGCCTCTGCGTAACAACCCTGGACTTCCTCCAACTGCTAACCAGGGCGACCCCGTAGAGCTTTCAAGAGACACTCAGAGGGGGTTTGCCACTTGCCTGCCTCTGCGGAGCGACCCTGGACTTCTTTGGTGGTCTCCCATCCAACTGCTAATCAGGGCGACCCCGTAGAGCTTTCAAGGCAAGAGATTAACAAAGGTGGTTTGCCACTTGCCTGCCTCCGTGTCGCAACTCGGGACTTCCTTGGAGGTCTCCTCTCCAAGCCCTAGCCAGGGCCAACCCCCCCTCCCCCCGCTTCTGAGGAGATCAGGTTAGCCACGGTAGGGCAGGGGAACCCTATATAAGGCTCCTTGTATGTCCCTGAAGAAGAATCGCTCCCAACTGTAAGCACAGTGGAGAACATAAAGAGGAAATCTAAGGAAGGGATTGCGGCTACAGTGGATAGAACGTCGGCTTGGCATGGAGAAGGTCCCAGGCTCAGTCCCCTGCATCTCCAGTGAAGGAAAAGGCTCAGGTATTAGGTGAGATGGAAGACCTCAAAATAAGACTCTGGAGGGCCACTGCCATTCTGAGTATACAGAATACTGACTTTACACAAGAACATCAGAAGAGTTCAATTCCCAGCACCTCCAATTAAGGAAAAGGCTCAGGCAGTAGGTGATGTGAAAGACCTCCTCCGCCTGAGACCCGCTGCCAGTCTGAGTAGAGATGACCCAATAATCGGATCCAGTATATGGCAGCTTTGTGTTTTGGTGAGGGGTTTTGTCTCAGTGGAAGAGCCTCTGCTCTGTGTGCAGAATTTCCCAGGTTCGATCCCCGGCATCTCCAATTAAAAGGGTTGGGTGTCAGGTGATGGGACCTGAGACCCTGGAGCGCTGCTGCCAGTCTGAGTAGACAACACTGACCTTGATGGAGCAAGGGTCGGATTCAGTATAAGGCAACTTCATTTGGTCAACACATTTATTAAAGGAAGTTGTTATTGAAGGATTTTAAGCTTCTCAGACTCAAGTGTGGAAAAGAGCAAGAGTCCAGGAGCACCTTAAAGACTAACAACATTTGTGGCAGGGGAGGAGCTTTCGTGAGTCACCGTTCAATTCTTCAGATTCGACCACAGATTTTGATAGTCTTTAAGGTGCTCCTGGGGAGCTGCGGTGGCTCAAGTGGTTAAGACGCTGAACTGCAGGCTGTGGAAGGTCGGTAGTTCAGCAGTTCGAGACCCAAGTGCGCCGCATGACGGATTGAGCTCCTGTCTCTAGTTCCAGCTCCTGCCAACCTAGCAGTTCGAAAGCAAGAAATTGCAAGTAGATAAATAGGGACCACTTCGGTGGGAAGCTAAAAGCGTTCCGTGAGCCTTGGTGTTTAGTCATGCCGGCCACACGACCACACGGCCTTGGTGTTTAGTCATGCCGACCCAGACGACCCTGTGAGGTGGTCTGGGGTGCTTTTCTGCTGGTTGGGAAGAAAGGATTTGGGGGTGCTTTTATGAAGCCCCTCCCAAGCAAGGAAAGGCGGGGTTTGTCTCTGCGTATCCTCTCTTTGCCGGCTCCGTGTCTACCCATAAAACGTGCCTCGACCGAACAGAGGTCCTCAAATAGCCATAAACCAGGACAGTTACCAACCAGGCAGAGTATTCAGGGGTAGGGTGGGTTTAACAACAGCAACAAGACACCGAGCAAAATAGATAAATCGGATGTGGGAAAAGAGGGAGGGAATGCGAGAAACAAACCTGGAGAGGACGCACGGCAGGAAGAGGAAAAAAGAACGAGGAAGAAAAGGGAGATGACCGATTGCCCCCCCCCCCCCAGCCTTCCTCTCTGTCCATTAGATGGACCGTTATGGTTATATATTGATCAGCGCTGCCTGCTCGGAGACTTTTATTGCAGTCTCCCCCACCCCTGACTTCCACTTCCCAGCGAGGGGCGGCCTTGGGAGGAAAGGGCGGTTAGGCTGGAGTCTCCCCCTCTTGTGGGGAAGCAAGCGCCCCTCCAGAGCCACGCGTCTCCACAAGCCTGAGAGGAAACCCTTAAGCCGGTTCTCGTGGCCCTTGGAAGAAACAATCAGTTTGTTCTAAGCAGAAGCTCAGAGGAAGGGGAGGGCAGAGTCGACTCCACAGAAACTGGCTCTCACGCACCGAGGAGGAGGAGGAGATTGGATTTATCCCCCGCCCTTCACTACCCGAAGGAGTCTCAGAGCGGCTTACAATCTCCTTTCCCTTCCCCTCCCCACAGCAGACACCCTGTGAGGCAGGTTGGGCTGAAAGAGCTCTTTCGAGGACTGCCCTTGAGAAAACAGCTCTGAAAGAACTTGTGACTGGCCCAAGGTCACACCAGCAGCTGCATGTGGAGGAGCGGGGACTCAAACCCGGTTCTCCCAGATTAGAGTCCGTGCTCCTAACCACTACACCGAACTGGCTTCAGCCGCCAGGTACAATGTAGTCTTCATGGCACTACAACACTCTTGGTGCTTCGGGCTGCTCCAGACTAACACAGCCCCCCCCCCGCCCTTTGTCCCTACGCTGACTCCCATATTTCCAATCTCTAGTTTCAAGTCAGAAGCAACTTCTAGTCCTCACGACTGCACAGAGAAAACTGAAAGCGTAGTTGCCAAGGTTTGCTACTAATTAATAATTATTACTTTACGGTGGGTAGTATAGCCAGGAGATCCTAAGATGATCTTGTAGCCTGAAGTTCTAGCTCTTTTAGTGTTATGCACCACTAGGTGGCGAGGGAGACTTGTTTTTTGGGCTGAGAGAGTTCGGAGAGAGCTGTGCCTGACCCAAGGACACCCAGCTGGCTTCATGGGAAGGAACGCAGAATCGAACCCAGTTCTCCGGATTAGGGTCTGTCGCTCTTAACCGCTATGCCGCGCTGGCTCTCGCCGATGTTTGCCAAAGCGCTGGAAGCCAAAGTGGTGGCGGGACATCGTTCAGGGTGCAGAGGTTGGTTTTGTATGGAGCGCACCGCCCCTTCCTTTGATCAGTCTAATCCCCCCCTCCCACCACCACCACAGCTTCCCCAACCAAGCATCTCACCTTCCTCCGCCGGATGGCTCCCTTGGCGCCGGGCACTGCTTCACAGACCAAGCCGATGGCCTCCCTGTATGGAGAGGAGAAAGAGAGCCTTGTACGTGCTGGTAAACATCCTGAACTCAGACCCGGCGAATTCCGTCCAACTTGGCCCACCCACCCACCCCAATCTGCCCCCAGAAGAAGAGCTGGATTTATACCCTGCCCTTCACTCGGATTCTCTGAGTGGCTTACAATCTCCTTCCCTTCCTCTCCCCACAACAGACACCCTGTGAGGGAGGTGGGGCTGAGAGAGCTCTTTCAAGGACTGCTCTTGAGAGAACAGCTCTGAGAGGACTTGTGACTGACCAAAGGTCACCCAACTGGCTGCATGTGGAAGAAGAAGAGATTGGATTTATACCCCGCCCTTCACTACCCAAAGGTGTCTCAGAGCAGCTTACAAACTCCTTTCCCTTCCCCTCCCCACAACAGACACCCTGTGAGGTAAAAGAAGAAGAAGAGATTGGATTTATACCCCGCCCTTCACTACCCGAAGGTGTCTCAGAGTGGCTTACAAACTCCTTTCCCTTCCCCTCCCCACAACAGACACCCTGGGAGGTAGGTGGGGGTGAGAGAGCTCTTGACAGAAACTGCTCTTTTTCAAGAACAGCTCTTATCAGAGCTACGGCTTGCCCAAGGTCATCCAGCCAGGTGCAAGTGGAGGAGTGGGGAATCAAATGCGGTTCTCCCAGATTAGAGTCCGCGCACTTAACCACTACACCAAACTGGCTCATATGGAGAAGTGGGGTATCAAACACGGTTCTCCCAGATTAGAGTCCGCGCACTTAACCACTACACCAAACTGGCTCATGTGGAGAAGTGGGGAATCAAACACGGTTCTCCCAGATTAGAGTCTGCCACTCTTATCCACCACACCAGACCCATGCTGGTTTTGACTCTGCTACAAGAATGGTGCCTGAGACTTTTCAAAAGGGGGACGAATTCACAGAGGAAGAATTATTCGCCACCATGGTCTGAAGGAACCTCCGGAAGCAGTCTACCTTCGAACACCAAGGGCAGAGGTCGATAGCAGGGGGAGGGCTGCAGTGCCTTCATGCTCCGCTCATGAGTCTCCCAGAAACATCTTGCCCCCTGGCGTGAGAAACAGGAGGCCGGACTAGAAGGCCTCTTATCTGATTTGGCGGCACTGCTTGTACCTTGGTACGCTGAAGCACATAGAGGGGGGAGGGAGGGAGAAACAACCACCTCTGCTGGGGAAAGGGGGCTCCATTGTACACCCACGATGCTTATAAAGGCGAGGCAACATTTCACAAGCTTCTGACAGCTCAGGATCTCTTTTTCAGAATCAGAACTGAGGACATCTTTAACTCCTGCACCCGGAACGTTTACTTTTAGAGCACGTCGAGGAAAAAAACGGGGCTCTTCGGAGGAGCCCACCCGCTGTGCTTCTGCAGCAACCTCCGTCCTGGGATTGCCTTCTTTAAGGGCGAGTCCGTTCTTTGCTTTGCACTGACTGGGAGCAACCAAATGGCTGTTAAGCTGCCTTGAACCATGAGGAAAGGTGGGGTATAGATGTTTTAATAAATAATGATCCAGGGTGCGAGTACACACCCCTGGGAGGGATGCAGCAGAATGAACCCACCCCTCTAAGTAGAGCTCTGTTAGGTCCAGACTGGAGACTCACGCAGAGATGCACCGGACAGCCTCCTGAGAGTTGCCTTAAGTGCATGGGAGGGCTGCAGTCACTCACTCTCACATCACAAGGTAGGGATTATGAGGGTAAAGAACAGCTGGGAAGGAGGCAGAGGAGAAAGAGGCATGCCATAGCAGGGACTGGCCTTTCGGACTGGGACAAGAAAACCCAAGAAGGCAGACCCTCTCTCTCTCTCTTTGAAATTGAGAGCCAGTTTGGTGTAGTGGTTAGGAGCGTGGACTCTAATCTGGGAGAACCTGGTTTGATTCCCCACTCCTCCACATGCAGCTGCCGCTGTGACCTTGGGTCAGTCCCAAGTTCTCTCAGCGCTGTCCTCTCAAGAACAGTTCTTCAAGGAGCTCTCTCAGCCCCACCTACCTCCCAGGGTGTCTGTTGTGGAGAGGGGAAGGGGATTGTAAGCCGCTCTGAGACTCCTTCAGGTAATGAAGGGCGGGGTATAAATCAAATCTCCTCCCCTCCCCCTCCCCCTCCAATCCCGATGCGCATGCCCCCCCCCTTTAGCCGGGCGAGCCATGCGTGTGCACGCAGACACTCCGCATCACCCGCCCCCAAGGTTCCTCAGGGCAGCCGGAGGACAGGGGAAAAAATAAATAAATAACATCGAGCGAGGCCGGTTAATATTTGATGAGGCTGTATAAATGCTTCCTGTCTTTGGCGGATTAAAACAGAACCCCGCTGACAGGGGTGCGGGGCTTGGCTGCCGAAGCTTTTCCATCTCCTGCTGGCTGCTCCCTCCGGCCACCTCTCTCCAGACCCCGAGTCTGCCCGGTAATGGATAAGTGAGCAGACACCCGCTTCTCTCCCCCCCACCACCCATGCCTTGCCCCCATCTCACTCCTCCTCCACCTCCTGCCTCTAATGGCTGGAGAGAGAGTGTGTGTTTGTGTGTTGGGTGGGCGGCCGGCCTTTTCTGCCGGACTCCGCGGCTGGTCCCCTCCCCGCTGGGGGCCAGCCCCGAAGGGCTGGTTTTGCTCAAAACCCCTCCAGGGTCCTCCCTTGCCCTGTGGGGGGAGGTCGTCCCCTGCCTCCGGAAAGAAAACGGGGACGGCTCACCTCGTGACTTGAGTCCTCGTGTTGAAGTCCAGCGCCCTCATCGACTGGAGCACTTCCACGCAACCCATGTACTGGCAGGGGCAGAAGGAAGTTTGTTAGGTCGACAGATCCACAGCGCAACGTCTGAATCGTTCCCACGGCAAGTGAGTCCAGGGTTCCCTCTAAGCTGAGTGAGTGTGAGCTGGCTCACAGTTTTTTAGCCTCCGGCTCACGCATTTTTGTCTTTGCTCAGGAGCAAACTAATTTATGCAGGGGCCACGTCGCTCGCTCACAACTTTAATGCCAGCAGCTCACCAAGTAGAATTGTTGCTCACAGGACTCCACAGCTTAGAGGGAGCATTGCTAGGAACTCCCCCAGCAAAATCCACTGTTAGAAGCACCTGTTTGCATTTGCAAAACCCTCTTCTTTTGGAGTCCATCTCAACCGTAGGCTGAGCTTATCCTAGAAGACACATACTGAGTCAGATATTTGGTCTATCAAGGACAGTCTTGTCGACCCAAGTTGGCGGTGGCTCTCCAAGGTCTTTCCCATCACCTACTGTCTGGTCCTTTTAACTGGAAATGTCGGGGATTGATGAAGAAGAAGAAGAGATTGGATTTATACCCCGCCCTTCACTACCCAAAGGTGTCTCAGAGCGGCTTACAAACTCCTTTCCCTTCCCCCTCCCCACAATAGACACCCTGTGAGGTAGGCGGGGCTGAGAGAGCTCTGACAGAAGCTGCTCTTTTTTCAAGGACAGCTCTTATCAGAACTAGGGCTTGCCCAAGGTCATCCAGCCAGGTGCAAGAAGAGGAATGGGGAATCAAACCCGGTTCTCCCAGATTAGAGTCCGCACACTTAACCACTACACCAAACTGGCTTGTCAACCAAACCCTGGGACCTTCTGCATGCTGAGCAGAGGATCTTCCACTGAGCCACAGACCCAACTCAGACCGGCAGCAGCTCTCCAGGGTCTCAGGCAGAGGTCTTTCACATCACCTACTGCCTGGCCCTTTTATGCTGGAGATGCCGGGGCTGAGAGAGCTCTGAGAGAACTGTGAAAAGGTGAGTATCTTCGCACTAGTGGTCTGGGCTCTGCCTTTGTGCAGGAGCACATGACACATGAAGCTGCCTTACGCAGAGTCAGCCCATCAGTCCACCAAGGTCAGGATTGTCTCCTCAAACTGGCAGCGGCTCTCCAGGGTCTCAGGTGGAGGTCTTTCCCATTACTTACTGCTTGGTCCTTTTAACTGGAGATGCCGGAGATTGAACCTGGGGCCTTCTGACCTTCCGCATGCCAAGCAGAGGCTCTACCACTGAGCTAAAGCCCCTCTCCAGGGTCTCAGGTGGAGGTCTTTCCCATCACTTAGTGCTTGGTCCTTTTAACTGGAGATGCCGGGGATTGAACCTGGGGCCTTCTGCATGCCGAGCAGGAGGCTGTTCCAGTGAGCCACGGCTCCTACTCAGACTGGCAGCAACTCTCCAGGGTCTCAGGCAGAAGTCTTTCGCATCAATGACTCCCTGGTCCTCCCCGCAAGTGATGTGGTTGTCAGCAGCTCTTGGGGTCTCGCCCTCTGCTTCCCGTAAACAGAGGGAGGGAAGGGGCACAGCTCAGTGGCAAGGCACCGGCTTCGCAAAGCAGAAGGCCTGACGGCTGCTGGGAAAGACATTTTCCCACTTGAGAACTTGGGACAGCTACAGCCAGCTGGGCCGAATGGCCTTCTTCTGTATCAGGCTGCAGGTTGGTGGTGAGACCTTGGAAATGCTGAAGGTCCCGGCCCCCGCCCCCTGGAGTATGCTGCCTGAGACCCTGGGAGATACTCAGTATACACCACGGGGCTAGACGGACCCAGAATTTGACTCTGTCTAAGGAGGTTCCATGAGACGTCCGGCTCAGCTCTCCTGGAAGGGCACCCCCTGACTTCGATGCGCGAAGGACCAGTACGGGGACTCTGGCTGCCGATGCAGAGTCCGTCTGCCCTCCTGAGGAGAAGCGGTGTGTGTCTTTTATTTATTTTATTTATTTAATTCGATTTATACCCCGCCCTCCCCGCAGTTTCCCTCCCTCTCCTCCTTTCAGACCCCTGGCCTGCCGCAAACAGACCGACGTGCGTTTGGCGGGGTTATCTGGAAGGATGGAGTCGCTTGGCCGCCTCCCCGAGAAAAAGACGGACCCGTCCTTCAGGCAAGCAGACCTAGAGATCATGGTGTGATGCTGCAGACCGGAAGCATCAGCGGGGCCCCAAAGCTGCTGAATGAGACAGACAGGGGGGGGGGCAAGCGGTTGAGGCAGGATGTGCCACTGGGCACCTGCCAGGCTGGCCAAGCCGCAAGGAGACGTGCCCGAGGCTCTAGACGCCGGCCTGGCTCATTCCAGGTACCGAGATGAGTCACGGGTATGTGGCTGAGCGGTGCCAAGGGCTTGCCCCCACAGCCTTCCGTCGCCCATCTGCCTTTTTGTTATTTGCTGCTCATTCCCGAGAAGCTCCGGCCAGCGTAGGCTGGACTACCCCCTCCACGACAACCCTGTGAGGCAGGCCACACCAAGAGCGCATAAGTCCGGCCCAAATCAGCTAGAGGAGTTTCACGGCTAAGCGAGAGACTTGAATCCATGTCCAGTGTTTCTTGACTGCCTTGGCTCTCCGGACACACTAATGTATGGAGCTGCTGTATACCCTCGGCCTGTTCGGTGACAGGCCTTTTCCAGCACCACTGACCCGAGATACTCTCCCCTGAAGATGCTGGGAATGAATCCGAACCCAAGACCTTATGTATGCCGCAGGGTATGTCATGGAATGCACAAGCCCAGCCCACACAGCAGGGCTCAGTGCCTATTGTAGAGGGATTGTAACAGAGCTGAATTCACAGCATCTGCCAAAGATGCCCTTCACTACCCGAAGGAGTCTCAGAGCAGCTCACAATCTCCTTTCCCTTTCCCTTCCCCTCCCCAACACAGACACCCCGTGAGGTCAGTGGGGCTGAGGGAGCTCTTTCGAGGACTGCTCTTGAGAGAACAGCTTGGAGAGAACTTGTGACTGACCCAAGGTCACACCCGCAGCTGCATGTGGAGGAGTAGTGGGGAATCAAACCTGGTTCTTCCAGATTAGAGTCTGTGCTCCTAACCACTACAGCAAATTGGAGACTCCCGATGCTAGTCAAAGTAAGAGAAATCTCTCGCCAAAGCTCTGGGAAGGTGAAACTTCTAGGCTTTTTTTTGGGGGGGGGGGGGAGTCCCAATGGGGTGTGTGTGGGGGGTGGGGGGAACTCTTCTTCCCACAGCGTAGCCGCAGAGAGGGAAACTTCCAAAAGCTGATCTTGCAGACCCCGGGAATTCTTTGGTGTGGGCAAAACCATTTCTATGGCGATTCAAAAGGGCAGCAGAAGAGGAAGAGGAGGAGGAGGAAAGGGGGGTGGGACAGGAAACTAGTTGGCTGCCTGTTTCCTGATGGCACAATACCGACAAATGTGGTAACACAACACGGACTGGAAGTCTGACTCTGGGTCCTGGCCCTCCTCCAGTGGCTTCCTTGGTGTGTTGCCAACAACAGCCAGGAGGCGTGGCTCAGTGGCAGAGCATCTGATCTGCATGCGGAAGGTCCCAGGTTCAATCCCTCGCATTGCCAGTTAAAAGGACTAGGAAGTAGGTGTTGTGAAATACCCCTGCCCGAGACCCTGAAGAGGGGCTTTAGCTCAGTGGTAAAGGTTCCCTTTGTGTGCAGAAGATCCCAAGTTCAATCCCGGTCATCTCCATTTAAAAGAAGAAGAAGAGGAAGAAGAAGAAGAAGAGATTGGATTTATACCCCGCCCTTCACTTGGGAGTCTCAGAGTGGCTTACCATCTCCTTCCCCTTCCCCTCCCCACAACAGACACCCTGTGAGGCAGGTGGGGCTGAGAGAGCTCTGAGAGAAACTGCTCTTTTTCAAGGACAGCTCTTATCAGAACTACGGCTTGCCCAAGGTCATCCAGCCAGGTGCAAGTGGAGGAGTGGGGAATCAAGCCCGGCTCTCCCAGATTAGAGTCAGCGCACTTAACCCCTACACCAAACTGGCTCTCTAAAAAGGACCAAGCAGTAGGTGATGGGAAAGACCTCTACCTGAGACCCTGGAGAACCGCTGCCAGTCTAAGCAGGGGCCGTGGCTCAGTGGCAGAGCCTCTGCTTTGTGTGCAGAAGGTCCCCGGTTCAATCCCCGGCATCTCCAGTTAACAGGCAGTAGGTGATGTGAGACCCTGGAGAGCCGCTGCGTAAGGCAGTTTCATGTGTCATGTGCTCCTGCACAATGGCAGAGCCCAGACCGCTCATGCGAAGGTACCCCCTTCTCTCCCAATGACCCGTTTCTGCAATGCCTCAGTGCCAGGAACGGCAACTGCCAAGGGCCTCCCCAGCTCACACCAGTCCTTCTGACGGAAAACGATGAACGGGTCGGGGCATCCAATGCACAGAGGCTCTAGTCAATCGACTGCAAGGGTGAAACGCTCTGCACATGCTCAGAGGCGCTCACCTTTTTTTCCTGGGACTGGGATGCAAAGGCTCCGATCTCCATTCCTACTCGTGACCGATGAAGGGCACTCTAACTCTTGAAAGCTTATACCCTGGGAATCTGGGAAACCCGGGTTCGAATCCCTGCTCGTGCCATGGGAGCTCCCTGGGTGACCTTGGGCCAGTCACACACTCTCCGCCTCACCTACCTCACAGGGTTGTCGTGGGGATAAAACTAAGGAGAGGAGGATGTGAGCTCCTTTGGGTCCCCATTGGGGCGAAATGCAGACTATTAGATAAATAAATATATAAGGTGCTATTGGACTCGAATCTAATTGAGCTCTTTTCCCTCCTCCTACACGCAGACAGCGTAAGAACCACCCAGATACCCCATCGAGTCCAGCACCCTGTTTTAGCGTCCCTCTTCAACACTGTTCCAACAGATGAAGACGAATAGCCAAGTTAGACTGTCTGCAGCAATAGAAAAAGAGCAAGAGTCCAGCAGCACCTTAAAGACTAGCAAAATTGGTAGCAGGGGAGGAGCTTTCGTGACTCACTGCTCACTTCTTCAGACAGAGCAAGACGGGTAGCCGTGTGAGTCTGTCTGTCGCACT